ATTATTTTCTATTATCCTCAACATGGAATGGAATTCAATTAAATGATCATTTTGGAACGCAGAAAGACAATTACATTTGAAGTAATTATTTTGGATCATGTTGGAGACACCACCCATCCTTAAAACAAAACAAAAAAAAAAATAGAAATGAACACTCTTGGAGGAAGTCTTTGGCATATATGAAACTATGCTCTTCATTCAATATATTGCCCCATTTCCGTAAGTTACAAAGTTGTACGTGTTGTAGTATATGTGACACAGATTGGTCGCAGAGTTTTACCAGTCCCAGCGTTCTTATTCCCAGAACATGTTCTGGGACAACAGATTAGTTAAGAATGCTACGTCTCCATCCTCTTCCCTTCCCCCAAAAAAACAGTCTTGTCTTCCTTGGAGAAGTGCAACATATAAAAAAAAAGTTTATTTTAATAAAATACGTTTTCCTTTAATGTATACATATTTAATGAAGACTAACATCACTGGTTCTGGGTAAGTGCACAAGTCAGGGGTTGATTAGTCCTTACTCGGTTAAATGAACCTAAATAGTGTTATATAAGTGCTGGTGCACTGTGTGCAGCCATTTTTTTGAATGCTCCCAATGTTTTTAGTGGTTGAATCTCAGCTATTCAGCTCTAGTTTTAGTACAGCACTTCATCTTACATTTGGATATGCTTGGTTTTCATCAAACGTAGTAGAGTTTTAATTGCTTTAGAATAATTTTGTACAAGTTTGGCTTCTTTATTTTTACTTCAGTAGAACCATAAGGTGTGATTATAGTCTGAAATGGACAATTCTGTATTCTGTGGCAGCATTCTGTACATTCATGGAGAATGCTGTGCTGTTCTTTGGACTACCCTGAGTTTTGTTCTCTCTTTTTTTCCAAACTTCTGCTGTCTTTTGGGAATTACCTTTTCCTGCTTCCATTGATTTGGTGTGGGCAACAAGATTCTAATTTGCTTGATGTAGGTAGTCAGTGAAAGTTTTAATTGCAGTTTAAGAACAAACTGCTACTGCTGAGAAAAAGTTAAAACTTTGCCTGATAAGTACAGTTTTCAGCACAGTTAGAGACCTGTGGAAAATTATCAAGCTGATCATCTTTGCCTTACTTTTTTTTCTTCTTAGTTAGCATTTCTTTATTTTTGAAATGTTTTGTATGCCATGATTGACAAGGAAGTAAATTTTCCATGTAAATTGAAGTTGAACTCAAGATTAGAAATGGCAGTAACCCTGCATTTAAGATTGATAGTGGGCTTTGTTATTTGTGAATTCCTGGGTTTTTTTAAATTGAAAAAAATTGAATTCTACCTCTGAGAGTGGACTGCTTTTTTGGAGAATCTTAAGAACAGAGAGGAAAAGAAAAAGTAATTATCCACTAATGTAAGGTTTTTAGTTTGATCTTTAGGACTTCTTATGGGAGGGAATTGTTGTCAATCAGGGATGCTGCTGAAGGGAGCATGTGTAAGAAGTTCAGTACCTGACATGGTTTCACTCCACGACTACAGAGAAAGCTCATTTGATCTAACAAAGTCATGAGCTTTTGGAAAGTTGCAAGCAAGATGAGTTACTTCTCCCACGGATTTTCTTTATTTGACCTTCTTAGTAATATCTACTGATTCAATAAAATGCACACTCCTTAAAGCAAATGGAAATCTTCTTTAATCTCACTTTTTCTAGCAGCTACAGGACATTTTGTGTTTTGTGATTCATGAGAGAAAAGAGTTTTGTAGTGATCTAAAAGAAAACAAATTCCAAGCTGTAGAATATAAATGCAGAATATCTGATATTTTTTTTTTGCACATCAGTGCTACTACCATGAAGCACTTAGATTTTATTGCCTGGATTACAAGGTCACTTGGGAACTGCTGCATCTGTGACTAGATATGTATGTGTTTGTTTCAAGTAAGCACTGAGGTCTTCCTTTCTTAAAATAATGCCTATTCCCTATAATTTCTGAAACGTGAATTGTATAAACTTGAGTCTTACAGATTGTGTAAGCTCCTATCATTTGGGGCTTGATACTCAGGAAGTTTACTCCTGCTGATAACCTGTATGTACTTTGCTTTTCATACTTCCACAAGCAAGAGAGAAATATGTTTGAGAAGTTCTGAATTCTTGTGCACTTTAATATTCCTTATTTGTCAGAAAAATTTGGGTGGGTTTTTTTCCCCACTTGTCATAGTTTAACCCCAGCTGGCAACAAAGTACCACCCACACACTCACTCCCTTCCCCACTCCTACCTCCCTCAATGGGATGTGGAAGAGAATCAGAAAAAAGTAAAACCTGTGGGTTGAGATCAGAACAGTTTAATAACTGAAATACCTTCCACTTTCACAGTTCGTTGGGAACCTGAGCTGTGCCCTGGTTCTGGTAGGAGTCATTACTTATCTGTCTTTCAGTTTAAAATTCAGTCTGGGATCTGACTTGTTTCTGCTGACAGCTGATTCATATTAGCTAGATGCCCGAATGATAACTTGAGTAATGTGTCTCCTTCTTGTGGTAGGATGAAAACAAAACAGTTCATACACCTTACTTGAAAAATAAATCTGACAGGATATTGAAGAATAAAAAATAGTTATTTGCAGAGACTTAAGAGATCTCCTTTGCTGAATCTTTATTCAGCTTTTCATTTCAGATGCCATGTGAAGTGTACTGTGATAGTGTATAGGGAAATTTAAGCTTTCTCACAAAGCATACTCTTTTGACAAGTCTCCACACAGTCTAGGACTGAACTCCTCCTTAATCTCCAGCTATTTTTACGAAGTTGCTGAGAGTGAAAACAAGATTAGTCAACAGCATGTAGTTTGGTGCTTGACACTCAGGACAATACTACTTTTATCATTTTTTTTCTGTAAGAAATCAAAGGCAAATATGGGAGTTACAAAACAAACACTTAAATGAATGTTTACAGTGTCAACTAAGTGACAGTAAAAGAGAATGCTTACCTGTAAATCTCTCAGAACATGAGTAATTTCTCCTTTTTCTCTTAAAAATGTAAAATTGTGTTGATAATCTAAATGGAAGGTCTCCTGGGGTGGAGGGGAAAATCCTTTAAGTCACTGTATGGAAATACCTCGATAAATGACTGGATTGTTCAAAGTAACTTGCTAATCTCAAGTTTCTTAGTTGTCACCCTTCTTTGCAAAGGTCTTTGTAGCAAGCAGACTGGAAGAATTAAACTTAATAGAGGCAATTCTGCCATAATTGTTTTATATAGAATGCACTGTGAAGGGGCACATGAACGTACATAACCTTATTTGACTACCTATGAATGTACAAAGATCATGATGATGTTTTTTTTTCTACTCAGCTTCAACAACCTGACTGTCTAAAGGGTTGAAAACATTAAATATAAAGACTGATTTGATACTCCATTTGGCATTTCCCATGTTATAATCTTTACTTTGTTTTTTTGGGGTTTTTTACATTAGCTAAATTGTCATTCTGTCCTTAAAATCTGGACAACAGGAACCCCCTATTTATAATACTGTGCCTTGAAATTGAATATTTTGTTAATATTCATGTTCTTTTTCATCACACCAGAATACTTGAAGTACAGAACAATAATGATACATCGTGTGAATACAAAAAGTTGTTAATGAGAATGGTGGGGGTTCCAGTTTGATGCAGTTTATTTTTTGTGTTATGTTGTAGGTCTGTCAAATGGCTTTGGAGATGAAAGTAAAGAAAGAGCATTAGATGATACTCCAGGAAGAAAAGTTGAACCTCGTCGCCGCTGTGCATCAGAATCTAGTATTTCATCTAGTAACAGTCTCTTGTGTAACTCAAGGTAAAACTATAAATCTGAAATACAAATTTGAGACTGAATATATCAGTTTTCTGTATTGCTTGTGACCCATATTGGAGTGCGTGGAGTGGATTGCATAAATTTTTGAAAAAATCTTTTGGAAAATTTTCTCAGTTTTGTCAGGTTTGAACCACCTTTCAGCATTGCTGGTATTCTTTTGTTGAATTCAGGTTATTGTTCAGATTCCATGGTTTCTTAAAATTCAAGCATGCAGAGAACAAATTTACCATTTTGTGTGTATAGACGTTTCACAATTGAAAAGACTTGAATTTGTAGTGAAAAATTAAAGAGAGAATAGTTCTATGTTTCCTATGTAGTAGAACTGTTGGAGCAGGGGGAACATGTTTTCATTTGTCCAGTATGCAGTGTAACACTGGAAGATAGAGCAGCTTCTGTCACTTGTGCTTGTCTCTCAACCTGTACAGCAGTTGAGGTGCGGTTGCATACTGTTTGTCTTTTGATGATAGCCAGGAAATTCTGTACATGAAAATAATCAGGGGTTTGGCTTTTACATTGTTGTTTGTATTTGTTACATAGCATTTTTTTAGAACTTGCTGCTCTAATTTTATTCTGTACTGATGAAATTTAAATTCTTTTTCAAAGTTTCAATTCATAGTGAACAATGTTAATTATCAAGTAATGGGCTTAATATTAATACTTTTGTAGTTTCAGCCTACCAAAGTGTGGTAAAGGTAAACCTGCCTTGATACGGAGACACACACTGGAAGACCGAAGTGAATTGATATCATGCATTGAAAATGGAAACTATGCCAAAGCAGCAAGAATTGCAGCTGGTAACTAAATAATTGTATTCTTAATAGTGTTGTATAACTATGATTTTGTCCGTTTATTTGACAGATTCTAGCAGTCTCATTTTCACTACTTAAGTACATTAGGCATTCTGAAAGTGGCAGTGATATCACTTCAGAAACTGTGTATACACCTGAGAAGTCTCTGAGTCTGGCTGCATTCATCCTGTCAGATTGTGTATGACCTACTCAACATTAAAATACCATTTTCTTTGCAGCTGAGAATAGTGTAGGTTTCTCTCTTGTTAGCTGCCCTGAAGAAGAGACCTTGTACTGGTTTTATGTATCAGATACAGTTCTACATATATATTTTTCAAAATAGTCTGTGAGTGAAGGATGCATTAATCTATACCCTCATGGCCTTTTCTATCTGGCATGTGAATACTTTACAAACTGTTACTAACAGAGCAGAGAAATAGCAACTTCTTCAGAGAATGGTTGAACAAATTTTTTTATGTGATGGCTTTAAACACTTTTTTTCTTGCTCTTACCAAGTCTTAACCACTCTTTTCCCCCAGTTCTTTTTTATAATGTTGAAATAGAACATGTATCTGCATGCCATCTTTCATTATAAATAAGCAATACCCATTTTAAATAAGAGCAGATTGAGAAGAATTGAGGACTAAATTATGTTTTGGCAAGTAAAGAGCTACTTCTGTCAAGTATTGCCTTACTGATAAGAGGAAGTGCAACTGCAACCTCTGAACTGTATTTTGGTACCACATTTCCCCATACAAGAAGTGCCACCTCATCTTACAGCGTATGAGCTTTGATAACCTTCTACCCTTTGATGACCACACACCCCCACTTCCATCTTGGGGGTACAACTCACTGGCTTCTGCCCAGTCTCTTGACTGTATCCAGTTGTGGTCAACTGAAAGGCTTAAAGCTGAAAGGCTTCAATCCAGTGGTGAGCAACAGAGAGGAAAATGGAGGATTCTGGTAGAAGTGTGCAGTAACATAAACTCAATTGTCTATTATGCTGCTTCATGAGAAGAAATAAACCACTAGTGCAGCTGCTTCCTGGAACCCTGTTGATGTTTTTGAACTTTACTGTAGGAAAGGGTAGGGTAGAGAGACCAAGAGGGCTTGTTAAAAATAAATAGAAATTAAAATGCAGGTTAGAATTTAGGCATAAAAACAGATAGGTGTACCAGACAAACCTTGCAAGTTATCAGGTGCTGATTTCTCTATGGATATCCAACACTTATGAAACAAACCAGTTTGTTTGATTTTGAAGATGCAACTTGCATCTTCAAAATCATCGCCTCACTGACAGGATTGTCATCATAGTTTTAAAAGAAACTGGTTATTCGGAGTACTGTAATTTTATGTTTTCTTTTGAGCTTTTTCAAAGGGAAAAATTATTAGAATTTGGCAAATGCTTCCTAAGAACTAAGATGTTTTAAGATATGCTGTTTCTAGAAGTGTCTAAACCGTTGTTCTTTATCTGTAGACTTGGATTAAAGTACTAGTATCGTGTAAAGAGCTGTTATGAACACTACCTGCTTTTTATTGGTATGTGTGTGAAAGGTGATATTGGTATTTGGATTTCAATGATCATGAGCTATTTGAGGAAACCAAGAACTGCAGAAGATTTGTCTAAAGTTTCATCCTGGAACATTTTAATTGTATATTTATTTGTTCTTAGAAGTTGGGCATAGCAGTATGTGGATTTCAACTGATGCTGCAACATCTGTTCTTGAGCCTCTGAAAGTAGTATGGGCCAAATGCAGCGGATATCCCTCTTACCCAGCTCTGGTAAGTACACAGCTTTCATAAGTATGCTGTTGATACTGTTTCTGGTCTGAAAACACAGTGTGTGAACTTAAGGTAATTGATAATTTCGCATTCAGGTTGAATGAACGTGGCTTATTCTGCCTGCTTTACCATGCATTGAGTTTGTAAAGTTACTGCAGTATCAGATTTTAAGTCAATAATCTCTGCTACCCTGCCCATCCTTGGAGATGTGCAACACTTATGTGTCGTGGTTTAACCCCAACTGGCAGCTCAGCCTCACACTGAACAGTGAGTGCCCCCCACTCATTCACTCCCTTGGTGGGAGGGGGAACAGAGTCGGAAGAGTGAAAGTGAGAAGGCTCATGGGTTGAGATAAAGACACTTTAACAGGTAAAGCAAAAGCCACACACAAAAGCAAAGCAAAACAAGGAATTCATTCACCACTTCCCATGTGCAGACAGGTGTTCAACTATCCCCAGGAAAGCAGTGCTCCATCACATGGAAGGGTTACTTGGGAAGACAAACGCCATCACTCTTGAATGTCCCCACCTTCCTTCTTCTTCCCCCCTCTTTACATACTGAGCATGATGTCATATGGTATGGAATATCCTTTGGGTCAGTTGGTCTGAGCTGTCCTTGTGCACCCCTGACCTCCTCACAGGAGTGGTGTGAGAAGCAGAAGAGGTCTTAGCTCTGTGTAAGCCCTGCTCAGCAATAAGAAAACCATCTCTGTATTATCAACCCTGTGTTCAGCACAAATCCAAAAGATAGCCCCCATGCTACCTCCTGTGAAGAAAATTACCTCTGTCTGAGTTTAAACCAGCACACCTCTCTCAGTAGTCTTTTTTTTTCCTGCACTGTACATTATTATTTAAAGGATCAATTGAATAAGCATTTGACAGACATCTTGTTAGTGCTGGAATTATAAGATATTTTCTGCTGTAAAATGAGTATAAAAATACTCTTGATCCTGCAGTTCAGTAAAGAAAGAAAACACTTGGTAGAGTTGGAATAAATTGACTGATTGAAGCTGGTTGTGAATGATGTACTGGAAACTTGAAGCTGTTGTGCTCAAGTTATTACAGGAGAAATAGACACAGCTCTACTTACATCAAAGCTTGCCGAGAAAATGTTGTTGATTAAGTGCTTGGCTTCAGGCATTTGGGGTTATAGAAATAGTTCATACACTTTGACTTGATTTATATAGTAGACTGGAGAGTCATGACTGTTCTATTGTGTATGTGCTGTAATGTAATCATACCAGAGTAAGGTTAAAACCTCTGGAGATGACATTCAGAGCACTTTGAGCTAAAGTGCCCTCAGTGGGTGACTCAAACACTCTTGGGTCAGATGCTAAAAATGTGATTATTTGATTGTCTCTTGAATGGTATTAGCACTAGATTTGAGCTGATCAAGACGAAAGGGCTCCTTTTCTGCCTACTTCTTTATGTCAGTACTGGTGTTTCTGAGAGTGGGATGAGTTCACTGAGGAATTAAACCTCAGTCAAGAGAAGAAAGTTGTAGTTCTATGAGCTCCCCACAGTGTTAGCTTTCTATTCATGTAGTTCCTTTGATCAGTTTACTGTGGATTGTGATTTGTGCCTATGTGGAGTTTGTTGAGTAGGAGATGGGTGGAATAGGCATGGAGTAACATAACGCTTTTTTGGTGGAAGCTGAGCACTTCATATTGCTATCATCTACCTACAGAGGAGTTTTTCCATCAGCATGATTAGTCTAATGTTAGCAGCATATTCCCCCCTCCCTCAACCTTTCTAAACAAAGAATTTGGCTACAACTGCATGCTTTGCTGAAGACTTAAGTCATTAAATTGGAAATTGAATGTGATCTCATTTTTTGTTAGGTTTGTTTGTTTGTTTGTTTGTTTAATTTTTTGCTCCAGAATTTGAGTATGAAGCTTGTATTTTGCAGAAATATTTACACCTTAAGATAGGTTGTTCCTTTAAGGTATATGAAATTCAGACCCCAAAATTTGAGGCCAGTTATGTCTTTTAGAAATCCTGATTCAGCTTCCTAATTCTGAAGCCTGCTTGTCACTCTCAATGTTGTATTAAGTGAAATTCAAATGGGACTTCAAGAAGAACTGATATGGGTAAAAAATGCTTTTTTCAGTGCTTTCAGTTAAATCTACCACTATGCTTCTACTATGCCTATTCAGCTTATGTCAAAAAGTTGTGTAACACAAAGTCAGTTTACGTACAGCGGTTGTTTAGTTTATGATTCTTTTCTCATTAACTTTATTTGTAATATCTTCTTAAATTATGTAGTTTTAAATATTATGAACTGTCCTTTTTTCTCTCTTATAGATTATTGACCCTAAGATGCCTCGTGTTGCTGGCCATCACAATGGTGTTACTATACCAGTGCCACCTCTGGATGTACTGAAAATTGGAGAACAAATGCAGACCAAATCAGATGAAAAACTATTCTTAGTACTATTTTTTGACAACAAAAGAAGTTGGTATGTTATTGAAATGCATTGTTTGATGCGGTGACTTAAAGTTTTAAGAACCTGTACCTTTAGTCTAGAAGAAAATTGAAACATTGTCTTTCCATTGAAATCATTCCTGTGGAAGTATAAACTAATGTTAAAGTTTCATATTTGAGTCTATTTTTGGACCAAGGCATATCATCACTGAAAGATATCTTTTTATGGTCAGTTTGGAAGAAAATAATATAAGTCAGTAAACAGTCTTTTGTTTTTTATTTACAAACTAATTTTGTTTATTGACCTGATAAAATTGTTTCTTTGGCCAAACAGTTTTTTTAAAGGTAATAGTCTAACATTTATATCTTGCTACATCATTACTTTCCGAATTACAAGACTTTTCCCCCCTGTCTGCTCAAGTGTGTTTTCTTTGAATTTTTAACCTCTGTTTAGTTAAGTCCTTTATTAACACTTTCATTTGAAGTTCTTAGCTCTTTCTAAATTTTTCCATTTATTTCAGTATCAGCAATATGCTGTGTAGAACCTGAAGGGGGATAATTCACACAATAAAACATTCTCTTCCCCTTCCGAGTAGTCTTTGGTTTTGGTGGGTTGTTTTTTCTTGGAGGGGGAGTTGGGGGAAGGCAACTAGGTTTTTTGGTGTATTTTAATTTATTAGGATTGGTGTGGGTTTTTTTTTACTAGACATGGAAGCTTCTCATCTACTTTTCATCAAACTATATATTTCTTTTCTGTGTTCTTCATCATCCCTCTCCTCTCCAGGTTTCCATACTGGTCAAGCTAGCTGTAAATATTTTGTATCTCAGATTTTCTCTTGAATTTCCTTACTTTCAGATACCAATTTCCTCTTTAGCTGATTATATGTAATGTCTAGTGATGCTGCCATTCTCCTGACTCTCTCTGCGCCAGTACACCTAAATAGCTTCTTGCCTAAAATTTGTAATTTATGTTTGCACTTCTGTCCCCTTAGATCCTTTGGCATAATCTCTCTCTTCTTCAGCTATTTTCTTAACTGATTGGTACTTCTTCATGATCATTATTGTTCAGTTGCACAGAATTCCATGAGATCCTACATTCTTCTGCCTTTTTTTATAGAGAACATCTGCATTTAAATATACTCAATGTTCTTGTTTCTTGTTTTTTTTCTCTTCATGGTATCACAGTTGTATGCATGTTCTTCCTAGCCACTTTCTTAATAATTGCTGTCATTGCTTCTTGATCTGGGGAGTCCTCTCTGACTTAAACCCTTCTGATTTATCACCAAATGCAGGTAGTCCTAAATCTTGCAGATATTGCACAAAGTTATATCTAATATACTCTGCATAGATGGACAGGAAAAGGCTCAATACTTTTTCCAGTCCCTTTCCTCTCGTCCCCTCCACCCTCACACCACCAACATTTTTGGTAATGGTTCTTTTAGGCTGATTATTTTGGCACTCATAACTCTAAAAATTCTATTGTGTCCCTTTTAGTCTTGAATCCCTGCCTGTGATTTTCATTCATTTGCAGGGTGTATGTCACCTTCAGTCTGTGATACAAATGTCTATAACCTGTGGATTTTCAAATAGTTGTATTTGTTTCTTCTTCTTCACTGCTTGTATCTTGAGGACTTGGCAAACTTTCTGTTAAAAATACCTTCTTAAAACTTTCTCTGATCTGAATTAAACTGATAATGGTTAGACTGCTGCTCTTCATGCTGTTATCAGACTGTTCTGTGTCCTCGTACTGACTCTTTGCATTTTGTTTCAGTGTCTGTGCTCAGTACAATAGGGCTGTAGTTTAGAGTACTTTAAGAAAAAAAATATTTCAATAACCAATTTTACTCATTTAAAAGAAAATTTTAGAATAAAGTGTTTTATATCAGACTTGACTGATTTCCAATTGGTTCAGCTCCACGTGGTCTCCCAAACTGATGAGTTTAAGCAGAAGGAGGGCTTTTGCCATTTGTAGGACTGGAGTTGCAGACTACAGTAACATACTTTAATAAATATTCATTAATTTACCTAATTTTTATTTTTCTTAATGTCTGTAACTTAATAGGATTACGATAAGCAGTTATGACATGAAGTAAATTTAATTTATACCTTTTAAGTAAATATTTAGAGTGCTTTTTCCTTAACTAGAAGAATGGGGTGCAGAGCTTTTTCCATTATCATTCCTCTGTGCCAAAAATTTGCAGTTATTTATGGAGATTAAAGCAGAAAAGTACCCTGAATATGGAGTCAGTGGGATTTCATATTGCAGGGTAAAAGCATGGTAAGCAGAAATTTCTGCCAGTTCACCTTCCGCATAAAGACCAAATTGAGATGTCTTAATTGTAAGGCAAAAATTCATCAACTGAAAATTCCTTGTAATAATGGAGATGAAAGAATGAGGGGAAATAATACTGTATCAGGTGAATCTTGAGCTATGTCCATTGTTAGTTGCTGCTGCCTATTCTTAATCTGCATCAGTATTTCACGCTAATTTTTTTTCGTTGATACTTAATCATTAAATACATACAATTGAATTGGAATGTATTCTCTGTTTTGTGGAAGAGACTTTCTTAATATTTCATGTTCTTTAAATATTTAAGGCAAGTAAGTACTATCTTAAAAGGTATTTTATAATTTTGTTTAAGATAGTAAAGCTGATCTTCTGTGTGAGCAGCATAGAATAGTAACTCTGACATTTCTGGACAAATTTCTTGATTTTATTCTATATGTAACATTTATTTTACCCTTTCTTACAGGCAGTGGCTTCCCAAATCCAAAATGGTTCCCCTTGGGATAGATGAGACCATAGACAAGTTAAAAATGATGGAAGGACGTAATTCAAGCATACGAAAAGCAGTAAGAATTGCTTTTGATCGTGCTATGAATCACCTGAGTCGAGTCCATGGAGAACCAGTCAGTGACTTCAGTGACATTGACTAGCAGAGATTCTAGCAAGGCATGAAAAATACCACACAGACTTGAACTCTACTAATGAACCTCTTTGTCTAAAAGAATGTATTGAAGATACAACCCCTTAATTGTTGATTCAGTGGCTGAGTTCTGCAAACTTGAAATAGTTGAGCAATTCTTCTAAATCACCATTGCCATATTGATGAATTATTTTATTGTGTTGTAGATTGGAGGATTTTCCACTAAACCTGTTAAAATGTCTTGTTCATAGTGTTCATAATTGTACATAAATGTATATTCAACACCTAACTTATTCTGATTTTAGAAGTAGCTCTTTTAATTCCTTTTATAATTTTGCTGGGGAGGGAGTTGGTTTCTGTTTCCATGCTTTTTACTTTTTTTTTCTGTCTTTCTGAGGTTAAGTTACCTAAGCACCATCTTCCAGCTTAAGGTGTTTAGTGGATCTTAAAGCCTAATATCAAAATGGCATCAAATATATGTTTGCCTAAATCATATACAGTATGGTGCTGCTTGTATCATTTCTTCCTTGGTCTGTAGCTTCTGAAAAAGACTTCTGAATGTTTGTGTAAATTGTTGCTCTTTGCACAAAGTACCACATATTTAAGATTGATGTAAATTTACAATTACAAATATGTATTTTAAGAAAGGAAGTTACATTATTTTGGAGGGTACTTTGTGAGAAAGACATCAATAAAAATTATACTATGTACATCACTTGCAAATCACCAAAAACACTCCATTGTTGCCCAAAATAACTTGATTGTTTTTGTTTTAAACAAACCTGGCTTAAAGCCTGCAAGCACATTATTTCTTTCAAAACCATATCCCATTTGTCTCCTGTTGATTTAATTTTGTTGATATGTGTGCCTCCCTGTGTTTATTTATTGTAGAAAATGTATTAATTTGCTTTATAATGAAAAATAAAATTGACAAATATATTGATATGCATTTTTATACAGGCACATGAGAAGACAACTTGCTTTGGGAGAAAAATGTATTGGAAATTGTAAAAAATAACTTGATGGTTTGTGTGTAATTTGGTTTTTTGGTAACTTGTAATCTTTTGTTTCCAATGAGGGGATTTATGTAACTTTTAATTTAGAACACTTTGGTAGCAATAGAAACTTTGGATACATTTTTGTATGGTACATGTGATGTATATAGAATTAGTACTTTATTTTTATTTTTAAGAAGTAAAGCATTATGTTTGGGCAGGGGGAAGATGGAGGGTGGGTTTCCAGAACTGCATTTTTATATTAAAAAGAAAAAAAAATAAAGTCAAGATATTGATTGTTGTAGCTACTTTATTCCTACCTTCACTGAGATACTGAATTTGTAACAATGAAAATGGCAAGGTATGTTTGCAATGTGATTTATAATGGCTCCATTATTTATAAATGCACTGTGTTTGAACTCTTTTGCAGTGATATCGTAAATACTGTACCAAGTTATATAATATGAAACACCAAATAATGCATATGAATGCACGAAGTATTTATGCCCAGCTTTTTTATAAAGGATTAGCAAATACAGCAAAACCAATACTTTTTAAATCTTTTTTTTAAAACTTCATTGAATAGCATACTTCATTGTTAAACCTGCTTGAATCTTTATTTTAAAGGGACAATTACTTTTTAAATAGTTTTTAATGTTTTTATTCTCTATTGTTTGTAATACCCCCGTAGAAGCTTGAAATAAAATTTCTTTCTCAACTGTAAATTTTGTCCTGAATTTAGCCCCTGAGATTTTGCTGTAGTGCACATTTTCTTACTCCATGACTGAGCTGTTACAGACACACTAGGTCAAGAAGCCGATTGTTCTATTGTGGCAGTATCGTCCGTACTGAGCCCTTTGCATGGTAGGTATTGTAGTTAACTGAGACCAGTTGCCTATGATGGACTCTGATAATTAGAGATGAGTTGGATAAATTTCATAAATGATCAAGCAAATAGTATTCTCAGTCTTGACAGGAAACACAGCTTTAGGGAGAACAGTGATGGCAGGTATCATGGAAAGACCATCATTGAGCTGCACTGCTCTGGTAGCCACAACAGCAACGTCAGGTAGAAAAATAAAACGAAAATTTGGTTATTTGCCTTAAATGGAACTTCTGTGTCATGGCTTCAAGGATCTATTGTACAACCATGCTTTTTAAAGGGATTGGAGCTTAATTTGGGCCACACAGAGGCAGTAGATTCGTTTGTCATCTGTTAGGACTGCCTGTTAAGGGTCTTCAAACAAAATGCCCTGCACCAGATTTTATTTCAAACTGGTTCCACAGAATATACTCAGATTTAGTGTGTGTAAAACTGGATAATGATTCACAGTCTCATTTTGGCACACAGGAATGTTTTTTTTCTGTCTTAGACCTTGGAAAGCTGAAATTACATTACAATAGAAGTTGAAAGATGATTGTTTGGTACTTGTATGTAAAATATGAAGTCCCAGTACAAAAGAAGTATACATACAGTTGCAAAATGATTAGTTAGAAGGCTTCCTGCATTCTCAGTTGCTTCTGATACTAGAAACATTGGAGGAGGAAAAAAGAGCTCCTCTTTTGTATAAACAGAGCATTAATTATGTTGGAACAATTTTTTTTAATCACACCTTCAGTGAAAGATTTAGTTTGAATTTTGCCCAGACTTCCAAGTTTCATTTTACATCTCTTCAGAGACAGACCCATCAGTTCTTGGAGAAGGAAAATATGCTGCCTTCATCTTACAGATGTCTGTACAGACTTCGGAGAATTTTCAGCTAGAAAACTTTACTGGTTAAAAGAAACCTGTTAAGCATCCTAACACACATCTTCTTTTGATGAAACTGGCATTAAAGGCGAGTTTGTTTTTCTTTTGTGTCTGATGGAAGCTGTCCCAGGAGTTCTTCCCAGATACTGTCTGAGAGAAGGTTGTAGTAGTGGCTGTGGCTGTTCCCATACTCTCTTGTGATGCTGAGTATCATCCAGTGGCTCCTGAGATTGGGTTAAAATAATTTAAAGTAGACTAAAATAATTTCTCACACTTGTCTGTCTTCAGTGTGACTTGTTTGGTTTTAAGGCATTGCATATCTACTTAGGAGAAGTCTGAGCTCCAGAGCTGCTTTATTTCCGAATTCTAGGGCCTAATGAGACGAATATGCGCATATCAGAATGTGCTTCACTACATTTTAGATCAGATTCTTCTATGACATTATTAATAACTGTAACATAGAGTGGAAAACAGTATTCTAGTGGAGAGAAAAAAAAGAATACCACGTTCTATCTTACCAATTTCTTAGGGAACATTACAGTAGTAGATACAGGGTGTAAGTTTGCACATTCATTACTCTGTTCTGGTACGATCATTTCCTGTTGATGGAACTGTGAGCATCAGCAGTTGAAACTATGTATAAATGTGTTTTCTTGTATCAAAATGCGAGGAAGTATGTTATAAATATTTAGGTGGAAAATGTGGATAGAGAATCATGTTTTTTTAAAAAAGTTTGGTACCAAGCTCAGTGATTTTGGGGGGAATGTTTGTTGTGGTTTTATATCTTTTACACTAGAGGGAGCAATGCACACAGACCATCAACACTCAGAAAATAAATATTCAGTTTTTCCTTTTCAAAGTGCTGCTATTAAAACTTACTGCTTGTAAACAGTCTTTTTTTGCTTCTAGTATTTGTAGTCCATCAAAAGTAGCTTTCTTGGTTCTTGCTGCAAGTGGGCTGTTTTGGAAATGCTTATTTTTAACTACAGAGCAAGTACAGAGGACAGCTCTGGATTATCTGGCTCTCGTGTCTAATTGAAAGTGACAGACTACCTTTTTACACTTTATTGATTTTCTTTGCACGAGTGCACTGCTATGGGTGCATTCTGTAGTGTTAGAAAACAGCTTAAAGCTGCTTGTTCCCGCTAGCAAACTGCAAGTCAAAGTCAGCAATTAATGAAAATACTCAAGTTTGGAGGTGAAGGTTTATGAGACCATTGCTCAGCAGCCTGAGGAAGGGAGGGTTGTCTTGAGGATATGTGCAAGGGAATTAAATAAACCTATCTCAGATTTGTGATCGTGTGGGTAAAGGTGGTTTTCTATGTAAGAAAAGCACTTCCTCACCCCCTGTATATTTGTAGCACAAATGTAGAAGGGAAATGTAAACAGAGAAATCATTTATTGTCCACATCCTGCTTAGCACCTTTTAGTTAGCTTGTTTCCATTTTTGTATAACATTCAGTTGTTACAACTTACCTGTTTTATCAGTTCTTGAAAGTTTTATTTCCTCTAAAACTTATAAGGTAGGAAAAGTAAATTCAAGCTAATGAAAGTTTGAAAAATATTTTGGAATAGCATGAAATTGATAAACTCTTTCTGAACTTTTGGGAGTTGATATTTGGGATGGGAAGGGGCTGTTAATTGATTTTTACCTACTACTTATTCATCTTGCTTTTATTGTCTGTGCACAGAAACTGCTATCAAATCTCTCCCAGTCAGGAAGGAAAATACAAGATCTCAGCAACTGTACTTAAAGTTATTCAAGATCTTTTTCAATTGTTTCCGTAGTGTTAAAAAACTAACACTGCAGTGATTGCTGTCACCCCATTTTCTGCTTATATTACATGGAGAGAGTGGACAGAATAAGGATGTTTTAAAAAAATAATTTAAAATATTCTTTAATTTTTTTTAATGAATCCCCATAATATCAAATATCACATCACACTGGTGCTCTGCTGCCTCTGTTCATTGTTTCAACCGTTTGTCCAAACTCAGCTCATTTTTTGATTATCTGTTTTGATGTCTTCACTGTAGCAAGTCAGCACTGTCAGCAAACCAGGGAGATGTCAGCTTACTGGGCTTACGTCTGGGTGTACAAAGAGGTCTGGGGTAATGTGAATAGTTTCCATGTCCAGTCTATCGTTGCTCTTCTTTATGCAATGTTTTAAATATTGGTAGCTACTTTTCTCGTCTCCCCTATTGAGCTGCACTTTTGCCCATTTTTGGTCTTGCCTAAGCTGTCTGGAGCCATTTTCCTCTGTGAAGGTCTTCTCTTTGTGAATCCTAGGGAGATCTAACTCTTCAGCTTCCCTGGCAACAGTCTCAAGTAACAGATTGGTTTTGGTCTAAGTTAGAACTCACACGTCTTGCTCATCTGTGGTCAGTTACATGTCCTTCACTCCTCCATACTCGGCTCTATGAGGATGGGAATCTTCATGTCCCTAAAAAAAAAAAAAAGAAAAAAAAATTAAAAACTTATCTAAATACATGGAAAGTACAAGGAGGACAAAGGAAAATCTATGCCTGTCATTTTAATGGGAAAACAAAGTTGTTAATAGATGATGAAAAGATGATGAAAGATTGGAGTTGTTCTGATTGATTTTTTGTCTTCGTTTGTCAGAGAGTGGTTTCGAGATTGTGACAGTTCGTTTTTCCAGACTCCTAGTCCTTGATAAAACTAAGTTGATAATATCTACCTATGTAATTTTGTTTTAGGGCCATAGGAACTTGATGCTTGTGCTCAAGTAGATGGAGAACTGCAGGAACATTAGTAATTTTTGTCAATAATCTATAGGGAACTATAGGAAAAACATGAGCAGTTTTTACTCGTGCAGGACTTTGGGCTTTCTAAAGAACTAAAGTGCTAAAGTAGTGTTGTCATTTAAAAAGGGGTAGAAAATTGTCCACCAATCTTGCTAAAGATGAAGTCAGTGAAAGGACATGGTGAGAGAAGCAATAGTGGCAGGATTTTAGGTAGAAAAGTAGTAGCTCAGAGATGGGTACAGTAAAGATCTGTATTAAAAGTGTCTTTTGTTTCCTTTCAGTGGAAAAAGTCATCTGTGAAAAAGAAAAATTACAAGATAAACAGAAAGAAAGGAAAACTACAATCAGGTTGTACATAAACTTAACCAGCAATCTAAATTTTATGTCTTTTCTATAACCTCCATGTTCACGATGGTACAGCTGAGTAGTCCTTAATTGATGTATTTTAGAGGAAAACTTAAGTTACTTCTCTGCACTTTGCCAGATGATGATTATGGGGAGAATGTACAAAAGATGCTGGTAAGATTCTGATGAAGCATGAAGGCCAGTTTTTCAGATCAACTTCATCAAATATTTTGAACCAAGCTAATCTAATTTGCTGCATAATTGTCTGCTTTTCTCCACAGATGTTTATTTTCTCTGAAAATGTCTAACCCAGTATTTGTCAACATGTTTTCCCAGCTGAGAAAACTATGGGACTTGGTTGCACTGTTGATTACATTAGCCCTAACTTTAAAATGGAAAATGTTACTCCGAAAGGGGATTTCATTAGTGTAGAAAAAAAGAATTTTTGTAGTGTCTGACTGGAAGAAGAAATGTACATACAGATTTTGACTTGTATACTAGAAACTCACAACTTTGTATGTTTTATTGAGTTACCGTTGTTCCCTTTTTATTCCAAGATCTTTAAACTGACTTACTTTATTCTATAAGATCTCTTGAAATTCCTTAATTTATCTTGAATGTAATTAGTTATTTAATACTTCAACTGCCATAAAAATATTGAACTGTATGTAAATAAATGGCAGTCTTATTCTTTCATGGATAATGAAACTTTTGTAGTCTTTTTTACTAAGTGGGATCAAACAACCCTGTGTGTGGTTCCTGTACACAATATGTTTTACCCACATACTTTGGTGGTTGTTTTGGACAAAAGAGTAATACTTTCATCCAAGAGAATCTAAGATCTTACTCAGCTGGCAAATTCATCTGGATCATAAGTTTCTCAAAATCTTCTAAGCATATCGTTATATTTCATAACTTTAGTTTGTTGACAGCACTGTTGAACCTTTACCTCTTTTCATTTTGCGTACCACCATTGCGAAGACTTTTTTACATTCTTCTGCTGATCATTAGATTTACAAATCATGTCCATGATTGTTCTTCAGTTTACTTCCCTGTTTGTGGTAAGTGAGCAGTGTAAAGTAAGGAAGGGTAGATTTGAGGCACCTAATAGTAAGTAGATACACTGAAAATATTGCACTTCTGGTCTTTGAACAGTGTAATCTGACAGTGAAAGATTTCCCAGATATTGCATATTACTGTGCACAGATCAGTCCTGTTTCTGGGAGCTGAGGCTGTTAACTGAGAGGTTTAGGTATGAGAAGTGGAGGATTGTGTTGAACTGTTAAAATCATCACAGAATGGCTGAGGCGGCCAGGGACCTCTGGAGATACCTTGTCCAAACCCCTGGCTTCAGCAGGACCCAGGGCCAGTTAGTTGCCCAGGGTCACATCCAGACAGCTTTTGCTCCTGGGCAGCTCGTGCCAGTGTTCAGTCACCCTCACAGTGAAAAGGCATTTCCTGATGTTTACACGGAGCCTCCTGCACTTCAGTTTGTCACCATTGCCTCTAGTTTTGTCACTGGGCACCACTGACAAGATCCTGACTCCGCCTTCTTCACATCTTCCCTTTAGGTATCCATGTACACTGATAAGATTCCCCGTGGACCTTCTTTTCTCCAGGTTGAACTTTGAGTCTCAGACTTTCCTCATGGGAGAGTTGCTTCAGTCCCTTAATCATTGTTATCACCCTTTGTTGGACTCTCTCCAGTATGTCCACATCTCTCTGGCCCTGAGGAGCCCAGCACTGGACACAGCACTCCAGGTATGGCCTCACCAGTGCTGAGTTAAGGGGCACGATCCCCTCCTTTGACTTGCTGGCAATACTTTGGATACTGTTAGCCTTTTTCCTGAAGATCGTCTAATTTTTCAGTGTGCAGAGTTCACAAAGGTATTGTAACACTGTAAATTGTTTTAAATTTTATTGGGAGAAAAACAGTCATCTTCTTTCCTTAGGATTCGTTTTTAAAAAATAATAGAAGATTAAGATGGTGTTCCTAAAATGTTGCTGCTTAAGGTTTTCTATTTAGCGCTTTTATAAGTACTGTTTTATAAGGAAAATAATATATTAATTTTAAATAATTATAAATGAATTAAGGTAATACTTAGGAATACTTACAGTAATTATAATATTATTGTAATATTTAAGTTAATAATTATCTTAATTAAGATAATATCATTTTATGTTGTAGAAACAAGATCACTTGAAAAAAGGGTCAGCTTTATTTACAAGTTTTTCTTTTATAATAATTCTGATTTTTAGTGCTACCATAAAACTCAGCTGTTCCTCTTTGACTAAAAATAAGCCTTTTAACAGCAAAATAACACTTGTTAGGAAGCACAAAAACAGAAAACATCACAAGATGTTACACAGACAAGAGCAGATGTCCTGGGGTTTGGACAATCCCTCTCCAGGTGCTCAGTGCATCAGTGTTTCCCCTCCATGATTTATGCAGCACATGAACGATGGGCAAAGCAAGCAAGCAAAGCTTTCTGCAATGGATTTGACATGTGGCCATTGAAGCAGTAGGGTAGAGGCAATGGCATTAAAAACAAAACAAAAAAGCTTAATAATTTTGTGACAGGAGCTATGAAATAACGGGTCATTGCCCTTGATGGCCCAGAAAGTCTGTTCAATGCTGTGTTGTTACTTCTTAATTGTTAACCTGCCCCATGACAGGTAAATATGACTTGGTTTTGACTTTTTAGCTAATTTTTCCTGTCTAATTCCAATATGAATTATTTTCCTTCCTCTCCCCTAAATTCATATGTTAAAATAAAACCAGAAATAAATTAGAATTAATGGTTCCTAGGATGACAAAAGCAAACACACTGTGTTTTTTTGATCTCTTTTTTGTTTACTTACTCTCACATTTTGTTTTTTATTTACTTTATAGTATTTTGCATTATGGTGTTTATATAAGCCATTTTTAAGAGGCATAAAAGCTCTAGTTTGTAAAAGTAATGATATTTTAGGTAAATAAAATGTGTAGTCTAATATTGTAATTTTTTTCTGATTGTTGGAAAACCTTCTGAAATGGAGTGAAAAACACTCTCATCAAAATAAGCAGTAAGAACTGTTAGCAGTTAAGAGTTGTTACTGAATTATTGGAGTTATCAGCGACTATGTCTGTCAACTAAACAATATAAGAAAAAGGCAAAGAGAACTGAATTTGACACCAGTAAAATAGTTATTTTAGAAGTCCTAATTTCTAGGCAAGGGAGAGGAGACTGCATAGAAAATAAGAGCAGAATTCTCAGTTTAGAGTGAGAATAAAAAAAAATTAAGGTCAAAGACAATAGCAACAGTAGATAGTCACATGACAGCTCCTCCAGAGCCTTGTATGCCAGAGACCCTGCTCATGCTGCTGACTTATTACTGCAATTGCTCAAAGTGTCTATCAAATCTCCCATGCTTCACATAAGCTACTTACATAAAAATAAACCATTAGCATTTTAACACCTCAGCAATAAAAAGTTTTGGCTTTGAAAACTCTGGTCTTATTTTATATTTAGCATTCAGTATTTTCATTAATCTTAGTTAGTGTGACACTGTCTTGTGTGTCCAAGGTTACTAGAGTTGACAGTGATGTATTCAGTCAGGTTAGGAGTAGCTAATGAACTACACAAGTCTGTTTCATTACCTGTGTTTCTAAAAGGGTAAGTCTTCAGACTAGGGACAGTCTGAATTTCATATTAGCTCTTGTATTCAAAAGTCAGCTATATGTATACAATTACCAACTAAAGAGCAAACAGCCTTGAAAGTGAAAAAACCAGTTTCAAAGCTGAAGCTGAGCCTGCTTAGCTGTCGAGTTTGCAGCAAGAGAACACGGGAAACTTTTGCAGTAGATGTTAGTCCACTCAAGCACACATAATCAAATTACCACTATCTTTCCTGATCTTTGTGAGATCTGATATAAAATAAAGCCACAGGCTGTATGGTTGTAAGTTTAGACAACCTCTTGCTTGAATAATTTGAATGCAAACAAGAGGGAAAGCTGTTTGTGAGCAAGACAAAAGCAATACATGGCTTAGTGCTGCTGCAGCTGCCATTAAGTTAGTTTCAGTAAAAATAGAAAACTTCCATTAGTGGAAATTCAGTGACTTTTCCAAGGACAGCAGAAGGTCAGTGACTTGTCCAGGGCCACAGAGGAAGCCTGGGACACAGCTAGGAATCAAACTGAACACATTTCTGCCTCAGTGAAAAAATTATGTCTTCTTTTTTAATCAGCTGAGAGATTTGGAACTTAATCATTAGCTCAGCCACTCAGTGACTTTTGTTAATAAAAGGGTATGTTGACCCAGACCAATGACAAAGCATCTGCACAGCTACTCAGTCACTCCTTGTAGGGTGCGGGAGAGCAGAGGAAGAGCCAAAGTGGGAAAACTTGAGGGTGGAGATAAAAACATTTTAATGAGTGAATATGGAATATGCCTTTGGGCAGTTCAGGTTGACAGTCATGGCTGTGTTCCCTCCCAGCCTTCTGCCCAGCCCCAACCTATTCATTTGAAGGGACAGAGTGTGAAAGCCACGAGGACTTAGTGCTGTGCAAGCCTTGCTCAGCAGTAGCCCATAACAGTGGTGTGTGATCAATGCTGTTTTAGTCACAGATCTAGAACATGGCACAATATGAGCTACTGTGAAGAAAGTTAACTCCATTCCAGGCAGACCCAGTTTAAAAAGTTACAAGTTTTTTCAGTTTGCTTTTATTTTACATCAGAATCGGTGGTCTTGTTATGATAAAATTTTATTTTTTATTTTAAATCCTCTAACCTCCTGTCAGAATAGTCAATAGCGCTATGGCAGAGCACTCTCATGGGCTATGGGAGACTCACATTTAAGGCCCCACTTTGAACTTGGCACAAGTACCTGTGAATCCTCTGTGTCCTGTTTCATCCTGTGAACACTGTATTTGGGCTCCTGTTACCCCAACCAGCCAGCCATTCTGTAAATAGAAATCTCTATAAAAAATAACCTTGTTGAAAGGAATATGCTTCAATGAAAATTAAAATTGTTACCAAAACCAACTTAATAGTTATATCAAAAGTTCCACGTTGATACTACTATTTATCTGCCTCTTATCTACCTTTGAATCTTGACTCTACCTAAGAGATTTTAATCTGTTTACTGCTATATTGACAGCTGGTACTAGCTGTTCCCAGTATCCAGTCTATACAGGTATGCCATGACAGGTTTAAATATTCACATACTGCACATCCTGGGAATGCGTTTGGGGACTGCCAAAACAAAAAATTAGTGTTTGTAGTTAAGGAGTTTAAATTTCATCTGTACTGTGTGTAAAGTTATGGGGTTTTACCAGTCTCTACTTTTTAATTTTGAAACTATTTTCATTTATTTATGTGCTGATAGAAATATGAATGTTTTAACATTCTGTGTAAGTTAATTTCATAATGCTAGATCTCTGGGCAAAAAGGTGACAGGTTAAATATTATTCCCAAAATATATGCTATAGTAGTCAAAAGAGAAAAAAAATCCTTATTTTGGAAAAGTGGAGGCACTGAGTTTTAATCAAATGATAACACAGAATTAGCACAATGGTCTTTAAGGGATTCGAGTACTTCATTCTGATGGATGGACTGCTCATTTAGTACAAATATACTACAAAGACATAGGAGAAGTATATTAGGCATAATTTTTCTTGTGGAAAACTTTTCTCATTAAGACCAGCTTATTGTGAAAACTAAAATTATAAATTGATTATATATCTTTCACAAACATAACTCCTTTTCACTAAATGAGTACAACCTTAATTAAATAGTCTCTCCTTAATGGGCTGAATTTTGCCCAGACTTAAGGCTTAGGCTAAAATTCATATATCATTACTGAAAAATTAAATTAACTATTTAGAAGATCATGGGAATCTCTAGGGTGGGACATAATTAAATCCTGACTTATGCTCCAAGAAGGATTTGCTTACCAAGGATAGGTCTAGGGCATTAAGTATTAACCAAATGTTTCCATTTTAAAAATTTTGTTTTATCAGAAAAGGTCACTTACTGAACCCCAAGCTTGCATGAAATAGACAAACTTTGACACTGGTTTAGTAAATTAATATTCTGGGGCCCAAGATCGACCTTTTATTTAAGCCGTTGCATTGGATTTGACTGGCAAGGTTTTGGTAGCAAAGGGGCTACAGAGGTGGCTTCTGCAAGAGGATTCCAGAAGCTTTCCTCATGTCCAGTGAAGCCAATGCCATCCGGCTCCAAGATGGGCCCACTGCTGGCCAAGGTTGAGTCCATCAGTGATGGTGGTAGAGCCTCTGGGATAACAAGTTTAAGAAGGGGAGGAAAAATTGCTACACAACAGCAGCTGGAAAGAGAAGTGAGAATATGTGACAGAAACAGCTCTGCAGACATCAAGGTCAGTGAAGAAGGATAGGGAGGAAATGCTCCAGGCACTGGAGCTGAGATTCCCCTGCAGATTGTGGTGAAAGCTATGGTGAGGGCAGGGTGTGCCACTGCAGCCTATAGAGGACCATGGGGGAGCAGAAATCCACCTGCAGCCAGAGCAGGTGGATGCACCCAAAGGAGTCTGTGACCCTGTGGGAAGCCCACACTGGAGCTATGGACTTATGGGGAGAAGAGCCCAGCTTGGAGCAGGTCTGTGACCTCATGGGGGATCCACGCTGGAGCAGTTCGTGGAGGAATGTCTGCCATGAGAGAGACACCATACAGGAGCACGGGAAAAGTGTGTGGAGTCCTCCCCGGAAGGAGCAGCAGAGACATGACCTGATGCAGATGAACTGACCACAGACCCCATTTCCCATTCCCCTGTGCTGCTGGTGGGGAGAAGGTAGAGAAATCGGGAGTGAAGCTGAACCTGGAAAGAAGGGAGGGTGGAAAGGTGTTTTAATATTTTACTGCTTCTTGTCCTACTCAGATCCAACTGGCAATAAATGAAACTATTTTCCCTTGTTGAGTCTCTTTTGCCCTTGATGGTAACTTCCAAGTGATCTCTCCCTGTCTTTATCTTGACCCAGGAGATTTTGTTACATTTTCTCTCCTCTGTCCAGCTGAGGAGGGGAGTGACAGAGCAGCTTTGGCGGGCACCTGGCATCCACTCAGGGTCTGTCTCCCCACCTATCAAGGAAGCAATTCTCATGATCCCAGTGGGCTGGCAGCAACCATCCAGGACAGATGTGCGAGATGAACTCTATGCTGTGCTTGAGTTTGCCAAGGAATCTGAATGCAGCTGTGCTGTGTCTAATGCAAATGTTTTCACTGCTGTCTTCATGGCTACAGTGCAAGCAGATAGTTATGGTTTTGTTTTCTGGTGGAGCTGCTCAACCCTGCCAGATTTTAAACTGTTTCCACTAAGACTCACTTTACAGGCCAGGGAACAAAACCGATATAAAATGTCTGGATTCCTTTCCTGATAAATATTTAATTGCTTATTTAAAGTGGAGTCAATTCAGCAGCTGTGAGAAAGACCTTTTTCACCACAGGCAAAATAGTTAACCATGATGGTTTAAGTTTATCTCTGTGGCTTTGATTTGGAATAAGACAGCAAAGTTGACCCAGACAGACCCTGTAGTCACCTGGCAAAGACTTTTTGTTTATGTCTTTCAGTCCTTATTTTATGCAACAGAAGTCCCATTCAGGTATCTACAGAAGTATTTGTACAGAGGTCTAGCTGTAGAAGGATTAGTCTAATACTCTGAGCTCCTACACCTGAAATGTACAGCTGAAATGTACTACCGAATCACTTCTGTTACAGAATTAACATAGTTTGGGGATGCTATTTCGTAAGTTTTTTTATTTATGTTTTCTAAATTTCTTTTGTTTAAGCTATTTCCAGAGTGCTATTATTTCCCACTGTCCACAATCTGACCAGCTAGAGCTATCTTCTTACTTTTTCTGATTCCTGAGGCTGCCTTTTCTCCATACTAATTAATCACAAACATTTTTGTTGTAAAACAAAATACAAATCATTTTATGAGATGGAATAATTACCAACACATCAGTAAGCAGTAGCAAGTTACACAAAGAAGTAATTTTCTTACTTTTACTGGTTTTTTTTGTGTTAAAACAAACAAACAAACAAACAAACCCCCAAAAGATCAAAGCTAAATTACTCCATTGAAACTGCACTTATTCATGCTCAAGGCATTTCTTGTGACCTATGAAACACAAATGTTTTAATTTGAACAATATTTGTATGTTCCTGATGCTACTCATATTTATAATATTTATATAAATATTTATTACGAGTCTCATCACATTTCTTAGTATCTTAGTTGTGAAATACTTAATAGTACTGACATTTAAATTAAAACTATCAGATCAGTATTAGAGTTAATACTGAAATTAATAGAGTAGTTTAAGAACATCTTTATGTTACAATGACATTGTGTAGCACACTTTATTATAATTTTAATAGGAAATTATTTCATTATTATAGGTTTGCTATCAGCTGAACTCTCATAAAAGTACTCTGAACAGGAAAACCATGTGTGGTTGAAGTGTAAATCTTTTTATTCTAGCTTGACATTGTAATTCTTATTATCAACCTGATAAAAAATGTACCTGGAAACATTTTGGAGGCTTACGGAAAGGAGAGCCAAAATTTCCTACAAATGTAGTTTAGATGTCACCAAAACCTTACCAAACCTCTTTCTTCATAGGAAGTTTCTTATATCTTAACATCCATATCTTAAAACCAGGAGAGTCTTCTGTTTTCTACCAGAAATGAGCAGAATATAATAATTTGTGGTTTTCTTCCAATGTCAGTCTTGATTTAACTTCACATCGAAATCCTATTTTAATCCTTCTAATAAAAATGCCCTTTATAATTGCACCCAGCTTTTACCCAGAGAAAATTCCAGCTATGATTTGAATAAAAACTCAAGGATATTGACAACTTTCAAAGAATTGTGTTTTCCCCCACGAAGGCCTGCTCTTTATGCTGCATATATTCTGTTTGATGGGTGATGCCACAGGGACAGTTTTGTTTTAACATAACATATTGCCTGTTAAAATAAATCTAAATGAACAGAGAGGTCACACTGAGCTGGTCCCAAATGTCCCTAAAGACATATGTACAGACAGGTGGTTAACAGAGCCTCCTGTCCAAAACAAGATCTGGAGGGATTTCTCCTTATTTCTGACAGATGGTCAGTTCTTCTCCAAGATCCTAAATATGCTAGTTTAAAATATTTACATGATTCTAAGATGAAATTGTGGGTTCTTCAGGTACAGAACCACTATCCACCTTTCAAAGATGGTTTACTGGGGACTTTAAAATTAATTTTTTTTCATGAAAAAAAAAACAAATGTACTGAGGACAGAACCTGGATTTAATTATATTACATTACACTGTGTCTCCTTTTTTTTTTTTTTTTAGGCATCTAGGGTACTGCTGTTCCTCCAAAGTCACTGCTGTTTGAAAACAGTGTATGATGGGGGTATCTATGCATCCTGAGTAGAACGCAGAGGACACTTCTCTTCTGCAGCAGCATTGACCCAGGGACAGTGAATCCCTCTTGTCTCAGCCATGTTTCTCTGGCAGCAGCACACATGCCTTGGTCTAAACAGATAGTGCTATGTCATGCAGTCTTTTGTGATCACTGTAGCTGTTTCTCGTTCTTCACCTGCTCCCTTCATCAAGAACAGGGTCTGGGGAAGCAGACCAAGGCTGCCTGTGGTGGTTAATTCTGTGGGAATGCAGCTGATACCATTGCTGACAGAAATCACTTGCCTCAGGGCTCTGGTCAGCTTGCTCATATTATTGGCCCCAAAAGAATCATGGAAAATAACAGTCACAGCTTTAGCTTTATTTCTCCATGAAGTGACTAGCAACTGAGAGAAGTCCAGAATCTTGTTCTGCCAGAAGAATCCAGCAAATGAATCATAAAAATGTCTAGCAACAAAGTACAAATATTATATATAGTCATGCAGAATTAATATCTTTTCATCTTTGGGTCACAGAAAAATTCCCATAATGTGGTAGACCTGTGGATAATAATGGTAAGGCTCATACTGTGGCATTGCTTAATATTATCACTCTATTATCACCAGGATTATCTGTTTGCACAGGTAGAGACCATAGGTAAAATATTCAGAGAGACTAAAAATGCATTCTTTCATAGGCAAGAGTGGATACATCAGAGCCTATGAGTCTTTAAGTCTTGTATTCTGGTATAGAAATGTCTTTTTAAGCCTATTCTGAAACTGCTAAAACTTAAAGCTTGTTTGCAAAGAAATTTTGCTCCATCAGCTTCTGCACAATGATGGTTCAGTGTCCTTGTAAATACAGAGGATCTGCTAAACTAAGTGAAAGAGACTAAGTTTGATTTTCCAGAAAAGCAGATCTCTGAGAAACAGCTGTGACTTTTTTTCATCAATGGGTATATCAAAGTGAATTTCAGCCTGTGTCTGCAGCAAACATACAAACCAGAAGACGATTAATATGTGCACACAGAAGATCTAAAGAAATCTCTATTGTTTTGATAGATGAAAATTACTCCCAGTGAGTACTAGCCTCTATTCTGTGCTAAAATAATTAAACAAACAAACAAACAAACAACCCCAAACCAACAAAACTTAGCATAAATAAAGTGTGTTAGCCCTAGAAAGCTGTACCTGTTGATGTGCACAACCCTAACATATTGATTGCAGTGTGAAGTTTAGCCTTTGCTTGAAAGGTGAAATAGTACAGGTGTATGCTGTTGGCGACAAAGATACACATCTAAAACATTTCCACTGACATTTCCCAAAGGAGTAAACCCCACCTGAGCTGTTTTCTGATAACAGTTCAAATTTTTGACATTTGCATATTACTATTCACATGTACAAACAGTAATTCTGCCCTCACTTTCCTATCCATTTTATTGAGGAATTATTAGGTATGGTCCACAGTAGGATTCCTTACATACTTCTCTTGGCAGCATCAGGCAGAAGTGGAATTTTCATTTAGTGTGGAATTTTTTGTGTCCCTATGTCTCTCTGGGTGGTAATTTAAAGTACAAGCTACAAGTAGCTGTATCTCAGGAGCTCATTGGTTTTATTCCTTTATGTTCTTTCCAGCAGAAACTGTGGTCTACATGCAGCAATCTTGCACTGAATATCTCTTTAAAAATAGGCCTCGCTTATTGTTCCATGTTGGAAGAAACATTGTGCTACATAGTAATTAGGATTGGAGCAGACTAAATAATTGCCTCTTTAGTGCAAGAAGTCACTAGCAGAATTTTGGATTTCGTCAGCTGATATATCCAGGGACACCGAGAGTAGATGAGCTACCATTATGAAATTATTGTCTGTAAATACAATTTCTTTTCCTTTTTACAATGTTTGATGTCAAATCTGATGTTTTCTTCAAAACTACGATTTAACAGAAAAGTGGTAATGTAAACATATCAAAATACATCACATGAGGATATGTATATTTGTTATTGTTGTGACACAACATCTGCTTCTACTCCTGTGCTTTTGTATGAGAAAGCTGATAGTAGTGAAAAGTTGCAAAATTTGAAGAACAGCAATAAGACTGACAAAGATTACTGCAATAGCAAACACCAGAAAGAGATGGATTCTGTGTCTGGTCTTATCTCTGCTTATGGCATATTTCTTCTTCTGTGTTTACAGCCCTAATAACAGCTGAGTGGACATCTGTGATAATTATTCTTTTGAGTTGTGAATATGTTAGCGTGGGAGTACCTTTTTTTAAGCTAAATCCACACCTTAGTGCCTGGTGGAAGGGAGCCAGCCTGTTTGTTTGCCTTTCTTGTTTTAAAGGACTGAAATATTCTACCAGGTACTTTGCTCTAGAGAGTACCATGTTCACTGTATTATAGACCTGAGCTTTTCAGATGTGCACTGATGTTCACTGAGGCATCATCTTGGACATTTTCAAATGTAACGACCTTTCATACATAGCCCATTAAAGACATTAATGATTTTTTTTTCAAAAGAGGAGAAACATTTCTATTCATTCAATTTTATAGCTTTTGAAAATCAGGTATGAATAATTTCAACTTGGAAAGTCAAAATGAATGTTCACTGTTAAAATTCATCTGATTATTTTGGACACAAATAGTTGAATACATTTGCTTTTTTTTCAAGTTCTGTGAT